GAGGTGATGAACACAGTGGCCCCATGAGTGGGTGAGTGAGGAGGCCCAGTGGGGCATAGTGGCCTGGCAAGGGGTCAAGAGGGGACTATAGTTGTAGAACCACTCAGTCAACGCTCAGGTGAGGTTAGCGGGAGACACTCAACAGACTGCACCGGGGCTGACAGAGGTGAGGAGAGCTAAGTCTGAAGCTGGGTGAGACCAGGCAGGATAAGTGTGGCCCCTAGAGAGGGCAGTATGAAAGAGGCTGGGTGAGAGCCAGTGGAGTAAATAGGACCATGGTAAGAGAGAGGTGGCATGTGAGTGGCCCTTTGGGGCTATAGAGAAGAGCTACAACTGTGCGCTCAGTTTGCTCCGGCCATAGGCCGGAAAAGTAACACCAGAGTAACATCTGCTAGTCATGGCACCCATGGAGGGGAAGTCGGAGTGGGTATTAGGCCCTTGTCAGTAGGGCGAGTAATGGGTAGCCTCCTGCCTTAGTAACAACTCTCATATTTTTCCATCAAGGCATGGCAGGCAAGCAAAGCAAGCAGTTACCCCAGGAGCAGGGCGGCTGGCAGAGACCTGATGAGGCCACCCTATTACAGAGGGAAAGAGGATTGAGGTCCTCAGGGAGAGAGGGAGGGAATTGGGCAGGGCTGGGGCTGCTGCCCAGCTGGGTGGGGCTTGGGACCCAGGGCCTGGGAGGGGAGCAGGGTAGAGCTGCAGGTGGCTCATCCGGGGCATGTTGGGGTGGGACTGGCTCCCTGCTTCTGTGCGCACTCCTGGGTGGTGGGTAGAGGGGTACATGCCCCCTAGACTTGTGCATGGTGAGGAGGTGGGCTGTCTGCTGCGGGCTCAGGTCTCCGCAGCCTGCTGTCCTCTCTCTGGGGCCTCCGCAGCCCAGCAGATTGGATCTGGCGTGACAGGACAGAGTGGGGCCAGGCAGGGAAGCCCCACACTGATCTGGCGAAGCTTCCCCTGCCTGCCTAGTAGCAGCAGGGGCACTGGTGCACAGTTGTACCCCTCGCTGCTGCCAGATGGACAGGGGCCACCTCTCCAGGACAGCATGTAGCTTGTGGCAGCAAGGAGCTTCCCCACCCAGCCCCGCTCTGCCTTGCTGCACTGTGTCTTACCTGCTGGGCTGTAGAGCCCCTGGGGGAAGTGCAGCAGGGCAGGGAGCTTGAGCTGGCAGCCTGTACCCATCCACAGGGGAGGGTGACTTGGGCTCCGTGCTCTGCTCCCCGCTCAGGCCACAGCAGCCATCACCTCCCGTGGATGGCAGCCAGGGCTTGGGCGCGGCAGAGGCTGCAGACCCAGGTTCCTGGCCCTGTAGCCCTGGCAGCTGGTGGGCCCCCTCTGACAGGGCTTGGGGGTGGGGATGGAGGGATGAGGGGGGCATCAGGGCTGGGGGGCTATGGGTGGGGAGTGAGGGGCCTGGAACTGCATCCTGTTGAGTAAAGGGGGCAGGGGGAGCTCTGATTTTTCCATGATAAAACCCAAAATCAAATATTAACTTGTACAGGTATTTAGAATGTATTTTGTTATAGTGATTGAGGCACTGGTAATCTTCCAAATTACTTTAAAGTTGTAAATATATCAATAAAACATTGTTTTCAGTTTATACCTATATATGTATAGTGGCATTTCATTTTAATCACAGATTTGGGGGGTTTTATCAGAAAATTTGTGGGTTTTTTGATTGGAGAAGACCCAGATCCCTGTTTATAAGCGTCTTCGACATCAGGCCTAGTTTATGTAAACCCACAGGGAGACAGTCAAGTCAAGATCTAGCAAGACTTGTACTTTCTAATATGGAATTAAAACAAAATAGTATGAAACCAAAATTTGTATTGACAAGGATAGGGAGATCCTAGGTTATAAAGACAAAAGTGCCTAAAATTCCAGGAGATTTGTACATCCATTTGGTGTTCTAGAGTTATATTTTAGATGATTATTTTGTAGGAACCCATGGTTTGGCTGTATAAACAAAAGCAGGTCAGAGTAGATCGTCATACTGGTCTGTTCTGGCCTTAATTCTGTAAAGGATAAACATAAGGGAAGCAGTTATTCGGTTATTTAAAGGAGCTAAACAATTGACAGTATATTGTATCTTGCTGTGAAGTTGTTACCATACTGCCAGCATACCTCACATATTCAGATAAATCTGGTTAACTACTGCTACTGTTAGGCTATTGCTTCCTTCATTTCACGGGCAGTGAACAGATTTGCTCAAGGATATACAGAACATTTAAAGCCGAAGAACAAGCTGAGTCTAGCTAACCTAATTCCCAGACCAGTTTTATAATCACAAGATCATCCTTTTACTTGCCTATGTATCCCTGCAAGTCATTAACAAAAACTAATTAGTATGTGTATGGCACATTGTTCACTGGTCTTCCCGAGACACCTGGATTGGCACAATATGTATTTCTCAGGACTGTGGGCATTCCACAACTGAACTTTTGAATTGAAGTTGTTCTAAGTTATTACTCAAATGGTTGTTTTATGCACAAGCTACAGTGTGCAATTTACTGTAGTAGGTTTTGTGCGGGCCGGGAGCGATCCGGGCCCTTTTTCGCGCCGCGCGGGCTGTGGCCAGCAGCCCGGGCACGCTGGGTCGGAGAAAACAGGCGACACGCTGGAATTAGGCACGGACGCTTAATGGTTGATTCAAGATTGTTTACTTACACCGAAGATGGTCGCGGTGTAGGCTGGACAGTTTCCCAGGCACAGCTCCGCTTAAATCCTCGTTTGAGGACTCAGACAATATTCGGATCACTCCCACGGAGTTGTCGAGGCTCCGTGGATCCTTTTGCGCGCAGGGAGAGGGATACGTCGAGGATTGCGAACGGCGACGGGGAGAGGCTAGAGGCTGATCAGACCCCTGTTGCCTGCTTGAAATGCACTGGGTCCGATAGGCTCCGCAGCGCTTGGAGATGGTCACACAGCGTGAAGTCTCCTCCCCCTGGTGTTCGTGGAGTCCTCCAACTTGGGCGGAAACCACTCAAGCCTTTTATACGGCTAGCAAGCCCAGGGAGCCTGCCCAGCCTGATGGCATGCATGGGTGTTTGTGTGTGGGGGGTGGGGGGAGTGTGGGCGAGAGTGAGTAGAAAGGAGTTGCGGGGGGGTGTGGCCCACCTACCACCCCCATGGCATACAGCCTCTGCCACCTTCAGCAGCAGCAGGCAGTGAGCCCTTGGGGTGCTCATGGCCCATGGCAGGCAGAGCCCCCCGGTGGTATGTGGCTCTGGCTGAGTGCCAGAGGCTGCTAGTCTGGCCTGCTGGCGCACGCCTTTGAACCAAGCTGGTTCCGTGCTGCCACATGGGGCTCCTGGCACTGCAGCTGGGATCTATGCACCATTGGGCCAGGCCCGGCCAGCTCCATGACTCCACGTGGAGCTTCCAGTGTGAAGCTGAACATGGAGGCACAGAGCTAGCCCAGCCCAGCGGTGTAGACTCCTGGCTGCAGTGTCAGGAGCCCACTGCGGTATCACAGAGCCCACCCAGCCCAATGGTGTGAGGACTGGGAGTTGCGGGGAGTCATGTGCCATCGGGCTGGGTTAGCTCCATACCACCTCATGCAGCTTCCCACTGGATACCAGCTATATGTTTTGGAAAAATATTTCATCATTGTAAAGGTGACTGTTTGGAAGAGGCTTAATGTGCATGATCAAAATATTCAGTTGTATAGCAGAAGGCTTCTTGAGGTCACAGTAAATAGTTTTTATAACAGTATCAATAGTAGGAATATGGCCATGATCTTAAGGCCTTGTACACCAAATTTACGCTCCTAGTAAAAATGAGAAATCAAATGTTTATCATTTACCTTATTGGAATAGTATTGCATTGGTGTACATTCTGTTTATTAATGTAAACACTTACATATCATTGGCTACTGTCCCAAATTACAGGTGGATATAAATTCGGGTGAAAATTATATAGAAGTTATTCCTAAAATTGCAGCAAATAATCCGTCTCCTAAAAAGGAAAATATCTGTATAACTATTTCTTTACTCTACTTATGTGTAATAGATTTAATTGCTTTCCTAAAGGACTAAAATCTGTCTTGTAATTACTTGGTGATCCATATTTTCCAGTCTTGTAATTTTATTATATGTCTGAATAAAAATCATTCTGGTTATTACAAACATTGCTAAGTAAATACTGTTCTAATTATTTTTTAAATGAGGGTGATGTAAAATGCTTTGAGATCTAGTGATAAGTACTTCATGAAAGCTAGGTATTTGATTAGCAGAGTTTAAGAATAACGCTATTTCGTTAAATAATTTGTGGCAAAATATACATGTCATCTGATTTATAACACCTTGTCATCTCATTTACCATATATATTACCACATATAGTAAATAAGATTTCTCTTCTACCTCTTCCTGTTCCTGATGGAAGAGCATATATGATGAGCCCCTAATCTTACAGGTACATTGTTATTCCAATTTGCCATAACTTGAACCTGCACATCCTGTTTGTCTGTGTTGGTTCATGTCACCATAATCATTATTTGAGCTGGAGAGACCATGTACTTAGGATGGATTTTAAAATGAAAACTCTGTACTTGCATGCATACTAGAGTTAGAATTTTAATAATCTGCTCCCATTGAGTTTGGCAGTGATTCTCTATTTAAGCTAAACATTTTTTGTTGTTGGCTTTTTGCATCATATGAATTCTAGAGATCAGTGTTCTTTACTCGTTTTAACTAATCTGAAGTTAGTTGTGTCTTTCTCTAAATTAAGACATTTTGTGCTCTGAGTTGGTTTCAGAAAACATTTGTCTAAAACCTGGTTTTAACCTGGAGCTCAGAAAATGACTTACACTACTTAAAGATTGAAATATAGTAAACTAGCTGAGATGCCATGATGTGCAAATTAAAGATGCAACCCTACCAATATTACAATTTATAGAATGTGTTTTATAAAGAAAATACAAAATATATAGTGGGATACCAAATCCTGCAAGGAAACGTGTTAATTTTTCAAACATTGAGCGTTTTGATGATCCTTAACTTGTACTGTAGAACACCTCTTTAACCTGAAGTTTGCAGCAAAAGAACTTAGCAGGAATTCAAAAAAGTGTGACAAAGAAGAAAAGGCTGAAAAGGCTAAAATAAAGAAGGTTAGTAATGAAGTTTTTACATTTTTTTTGCTAGGAAAATATTTCATACTAGCCTGGCAAACTCGCCCTGGGATCTGAAAGTCAAATTGGGTTCCTTCTGACCAATCTGCCATAAGGTTTGATGTTGACAGTTTCTGAGCACCTTCTGTGTAGAATACCATATTTACCTGAATCCAAAGTAACTTTGAATTTAAGATAACCCCTTAGTAATTAGTTTCTATACATGAAGAATTTATATATTTGTTTATAATTTTCCATGTACAGAATCCAGTTACGGGGGTGGGGGTGTGCATTTTAAATTCATCCTCTTTACCGCTGTAGCAAGACAAGTGGCAGCAGAGGTTCAAGTGGCCTGCCCTCTGGCACTTTGATCTCCCTTCTCTCCACCGTTGGTGCGTATGCCCCTCCTCCCCCTGTTCCATCACATCTTCCACATCTTGCCCTCCTGCCGTTTTCCCTGGTGCCTTGCCCTCCTGCCACTTTCCCCTCCCTGCTGGTGCCTGCCAGCCACTTGCCCTGCCTGTCTCCATATGATGGCTCCAGTTCTTGCAACTCGGGGTAAGCAACAGTATGGGCACAGGGCAGAGGCTGTGTGAGGCAAGTGGTGGATGGCCTTGTACTAAAATCAAAGATGAGGGGCTTTTTTCCCCCCATGTTGAAAATGGAAAAAAAACCCTTGTTTTGGAGTTGAGTAAATATAGTTTAGTAGCAGTTGAGAAGCCAAGTGAACTTCATGGAGTCTCAGACCTTGTCGCAAAAGGGGGGGGGTGGGAGGGGTGCTCTTTTTGAATATGTTTTTTGGCAAATTAGAAATATTAAAAACATTTAGGTTTATTTAAGAGCTTTATTTAGGGTTTTTAAAATAATGGGATTGGTATTTCTGGATAAAAGGGTGGTCAATGTTGTGTCATTCACATGGTGGAAAAGTCTCTCTGAAGGGGAAGGTCTTGCAGTGTTTGCTAAAATTGTGGCTCCTTGGTACTAGTTTTTGCTTTTTCAGTGTAGGTCACAGTGGATATCGTGGACTACAGAATTTGGTCATCCATTATGAAAAATCCCATCAACAGGAACAAGGAGTGGTGGTCTCGAGATACAGCGAAGGACGTTTAAGTTGGATATTAGGAAAAACTTTCTCACTAGGAGGGTAGTAAAACACTGAAACAGATTACCCAGAGAGGTTGTGGAATCTCCATACTTGGAGGTTTTTAAGACCCAGCTACACAAAGCCTTGGCTGGAATGGTCTACTTTGAGCAAGGGGCTGGACTAGATGACCTCTTGAGGTCTCTTGCAAAATTAATTTTCTATGATTCTGTTCTAACTGATGCATCAGAAGGAATAGCACTGTTTTGAAAGGCTTAATACCACTGGGTTATTATTGTTAATGAAGATTAGCAATAGTTAAAATGCTTTAGTTTGTTTAAACAGGCAATCCAGAAGGGTAATACGGAAGTTGCAAGAATACATGCAGAAAATGCAATCCGACAGAAGAATCAGTCAATCAACTTCTTGCGCATGAGCGCCAGAGTAGATGCGGTAGCAGCAAGAGTACAAACTGCAGTAACAATGGGCAAGGTAAGCATGTTTTTAGACATAAACACTGAAGTAACCAAGGCCCTTACTTGTCAGTAGCCTTCCCTAATTCAGTATTTTACAGATGAAGTCCTAGGCTTATTAGGAATACTTGGCATAAAGTTCCACAGTAAAGCAAATGTTGTAAAAGGCTGTAAGTTGTCAGCATTGCAGTGAATGTTTAGCCATCATGTTTGTGCCATCACTGACTTTACGTGCTTCTTTTAGTACGGTTATGATACAGCATCTTGTGTAGACAGTTAGATTTGTTAGTCTAGTTGGATGGAAGGCAGGGTAGATTTAAACCTTGTAAACTAAATCAGATATGCTCCTATGTGACAACCAACATATCACATGGTTCATTTACTTTAATCTAGTGTTCTCTATGCCACAAGATTTTTTTAAACATATTGTTCCCTTCCCCTTTCAAAATTAGTGTTGGCAAGCCAGTCAATTGACCTGTCAGTTGACTATTTTTTTAACCAGTCAAAGATGATAGCAATTTTACAAAAAAAACAAACCCCAAAACCTACTTTTTTGTGGGTTTTAACATGATTTTTAAATTATTTTTGACACATTTCTTAATGGAAATTTTGTGCTTTTTCTGTATATTATTTGGATCTGTAGGCAATTTCTTACAGTTTTTTACCAATATTTGATTGGTCAGTTGACCAAACTTTGACTGGTCAAATAGATGCATAAGGGCATGTCCTGGGGGTTTCTGATGCCAAAAGGTATTGAGAAAGTGTTTCTGGTTTGATCCAAACAAATGGAAAAAGAGTTAACAGAAAAGTAAATAAATTATATGGCTTTTATGGCCCTGGTTTACAGTGACCTGCCAAATGACTAAAAAGACTCTTCAGGATACTTTGGCAAACTTATTACTGTTACTGGCAAACTTATTACTGTTATGTTGTTATTAGAACTAACTTTGGTCTGTACTTGGAAGAAAGACCTCCAAAAGAATCAGAAGATTGAGGAACTTGATTAATAAGAGGCTCTTGTCCTTCTCAGCACTAAATTGCTGTCCTCCACTGTGTTACAAAACTAGACTGTCTTTTAAAGTAGAGAAATGTTGTCAATAAAGATGAAATAGTGGAGAGGAGCAACATTACTTTTAGTGTACATCATAGAAAAACATTTTAGAAATGCCCAAGATAAACATTCTGTTAAACCTAAATTCCCCAGGCATTTTCTGTCATACCATTTATTTGTTCTTGCCATTGTGTCATGTTCTTGTGCACTGTAAAATTCTCCAGATGTGATTATACTTCAGGAGTAGTTTTCAAGAATTTCAAGCTTGTACTCGTTATGCTCATGAATAAAGGCTGTTATAGTAACACAGGATTAATAATCCAAAGGCCTGAAAAGTTGCATTAAAATTACTTTTCTAAAACTTATTGGGGTTCTCTGTAAACTGGTGTGTTTGGTGCACCCATAAAAATACCAGCTGCATGCATAACTTTAATTTTTAGTTGCATCATTTCAGTCCAGAGCACTTATTTAAAGTTAGAAAGAAAGCTTCCAAAAAGCAGGCATTAACCCCCAAAAATGATAAAGTAGTGCAAATTCATCAACTATGGTGCTGTAGAAGGTCTTAAGAAGTGGAAGGATTCAAGCATAAGTATTGGTTACTTGTATTTTGTGAATGTTGTAATATGTTTGACTTTCCTTTTTAGGTAACAAAGTCAATGGCAGGTGTAGTTAAATCTATGGATGCCACACTGAAGAGCATGAACCTGGAAAAGGTAAACAAATTTAACCATTCAGGGTTGAAATAAATTCTCAGGTTGGTCTGTACTGTTGCTCTGACAGCACTATTTATCTGCAGATATCTGCCTTAATGGACAAATTTGAGCACCAGTTTGAAACATTAGATGTTCAGACACAACAGATGGAAGATACAATGAGCAGCACTACTACGCTAACAACGCCACAAGTAAGAATAACTGATTTCTCAGTAAATATTGCCTGCAACTAAATTGTACATAAGTGCTTTCATTTTAACATTCATACTTTCTGCCTTTATAAGTCTCCAAGAGGAGCTGGCACATTTTCCTTTTTTTGATCTGGTATTTTTTTGTTTACTTTGTGAAGAATAAAATATTTAAGCTGCTACATCCCTAAATAAAAATGGAACATTACAAATACCATATCACAATATGATTGCACTCCTGTACAAAATTAAGTTTATTTTCTACCTAAGAGGATTTTTACAATCTTTGCTTTCTCCTTAGCCTAAAGATGAGCGTGTGAGCCAAAAAGCTTACATAAGAAGAATTTTTTTGGCTGTTTTTTAGTCTGTCTAATACAAGGTATCACCTCTGAACTAAAAAGTTTTTTAGAGTTTTGTATGTCTTTGTCTCAGACCAAAACGGCCACAAAATAGATCCCTGATATCATGATACATGCTTGCAATTACTTCAGTTCTAGTTCTTTGATTGCAGGCCTTCCTTTGGCTTGTACAGAATTTTGACTAGTTTTCTAAGCTTTCTTCATTAGAATACATTTCATCATTAGACCTCATAAATACAGGTTTCCCTTGCTTTATGTGGGTTCTGTATGTGTGAATTCACTCTTATGCCGATGACCCTTTTTATACCAAATTAATTATGCAACGTAAATTCACTTTTATGTGATCAGTGTGGTGGAAGCCTGCAGTCAGCTGCTTTGTGCAGTGCATTGTGGGAGTGACATGCCCCAAAATATAGTCTCCTGTGTAGATCTGTGCTTCTCGCTCATTGTCTGCGACACGTGTTTCTGTAGTTGCCATCCCCATTATGGCTTCTAAGCATCCCACTAGCTTATCTCCTACCCTTCTCTCTGGTCCATCAATGAAACCTTCACCACCCTCTCTTCACACCAGCTAAACATTTACCACCACCCTGTGCTTGTGTATACTGTCTGCTGCTGGTGAGTACAAAAATTGTCTTGTAGAAGTAGTAGAAATGGGTCTGGGAGTCAGTACAGTCGAGGTCTTGAAACGTATCCCTATTTGTTACGTTGTAAAGTCAGTTCCCTTTATGTGAATTTGAGTTATGCGCCATTTTCCAGGAGTGCACGTAAAGCATAAAGCAAGGGAAACCTGTACGTTGAAATAATAATAAGTATTTTGCTGACCTTCTGAAGTTAAGGTAACAATTAGTTGCTGTCAAACACAAAGGTTATATGGCCATTTGTGGTTAGACAATCACCAGTTGATAATGTAGTTCAAAAGCAAACTAGTTTCTAAGAAAGATATAGTTATAACTGAATAAAATTGAGGGTTGTTCTCTTCTAAGGGAGGGAAGGTGTTCAGAACCATGACCGTAATAGTTAAATGCTGACTATTGGTTATACTTATATACTTATGCGAGTTAAGTGTTTTGTGTGCAAGTAGGATTAGACCTAATCATGTTGGAAATATTGCAGTTCAGTAATTGAAGTTCAAGAGCATTTGGATGGTATAGCATGAGATGCTGTGTATTCTGAATTCATGTAGCTCCTCCTGGTGGTGAAATACAAAAAGTGTTCAAAATTCACTTACCTTTCCCTCTAAAACAGTTTTTTATTAAGGTTAACTAGTAATAACAGCAGACTCATTCAGTTTTGATTCCTATTCTAGAATCAAGTGGATATGCTTCTACAGGAAATGGCAGATGAAGCAGGGTGAGTTAAATTCTTAAAGAGTGAATATTTGCAACTAAAGACAATTGCATCTGATCTTGGCATTTAATTTTGAATAAAACTAATGTTTGCAGTAAGATGATATAAATCAAGCCGCTTTTAAAGGGCACTGTTCAGAACTAAATCATGCTGGCTGGCTGCATTAAATACATTTGGATTGCGTGTCAAGTATGTGCAAGGACATGCACATACACTTGCTGTGTTAATAAAGCATGAGTTAACGGTATTGCTCTGTTACTCTGCTGATGTGAATACACTGCCCCATAAACAAAAATAATAAATTAAAAACCCTGTGTTTGACTGTACTTTTGAGAAAGAATCAGACTGCTTCTGCTACTGGGGCAAGACAGCTACTTTTGACAAGTTCTGTATTAAAACTTTTTGTAGATTTTTTTTTTTCATTTTTCATACCTGTTTTATCACTGGTCTAATCCCAACTATCTGAAAGCATCAGTTACTAGTCTTTATTATGATAGATGCATTGTTCTCCTGATGATGGTCCTAATTTCCTGAGGAAGATTGCCTAATATATTGGAGCATAATCTGGGGGGGGCCAGAGGAGGGATTACCATGGTGGTTCTCCACTGTGTAGGATACTTAAGTCGTGAGCCATTTGTCAGTTTAAATTGCATCCTGTGTAACTTTAATAATATATGTAATCATTTTCTTTTCTATTTTTAACTAGTCTTGATCTGAACATGGAACTCCCTCAGGGGCAGACAGGTTCTGTTGGCACAAGCGTGGCTTCAGCAGAACAGGTAAATATTGCTTTCTGGTATCTTCTATATCAGTGTGATGCAGAAGTACTGCCTCATTTGATATTTCTTCACTTAACACATTTAATTTATTTTAACAAAGCAGTTTTCTTGGAGGCATGAGATTTTTTTAGTGTTAAGTCTGTCAGTTTTGCTTTTTAACTCATAGACTGTTCAGTAAGACTCTGTTCCATGCCCCTCCACCTTTCCAAGTGATTAATGGATGTTCTTTGATGACCTACTAAAGTTAATGCGAGTTAGCTTCTGCAGATACAAAGGTGATGGGTCTGTTAACTTGGGTCTAGTGAGGATGGTGCACAGTGATGCTCAGTTATAATGGGCTTCAGTTTAAGCTAGTCTTCCAGGAATAAAAATCCTTCTCTCACTCTGTCTTGAGTGTTAGTTCTTATAGTGTTCATGGGGTAAATTTATGCAATTCTTTGCAAGCACCTGTTTAAAGCAGATACATAGTGAAGTCAATTTTATCTTGGTTTCTGCAGGATGAGTTATCGCAGAGACTGGCCCGCCTACGTGATCAAGTTTAACTTAAAGAACGAAAGTTGCGGTTCTCTGCATTCTGTCTATAACTTAACCCATCACTACAATAGGAACGTTTCATACAGTCTGTCCTGGATGTTTAAATATTTGTACTATAATATATTTCACTTCTGGCTTGCTATCCTTTCTAAAATACATTAAGTAATTCAGAAGTATCATGCTACTTAATGTGTTCTCTGTACAGTACATTTTGAGGCTGGGAGTATATTTTTGCAAATTCTTTTCACAGAAATGTTGAAATTCTAAGTCAGCTAATTTTGGCTTGTTCTTGTTGAAACAAAAACAGACCGCCTTTAATATGTAATATTTTAATTATGGTGTGTATTTTTTTTAAATTCTGAAGAATACAGTTGGAGAATCTTGTGTGCACTTCAGATGGTTGTTGCAGTTCACTTCCTTACACAGCAGAAGTCATGGAACACAGAGATGGACAGTGTTGTCTGTGTCTTAAAATGCCTATTAAAACAGATTGTTAGACTTGAGTACATTTTTGGTGTGCTAAAAATGCAGTAATTGTGCTACAGCTTAATGATCTCAGTTCAAAAACTGGCTACCAAAAGTAGTCTTCAGATAAATCTGAATTTGTATGGCATCATCACTCCAGTTGAGGAGGAATAAAATATATTTTTATTTTAAATATCTGTTGATCCCATTAGATATTGTAGCCATTTACTTTTCTGGAGTACCTTCTGGAGAAGTTGCAATATTCAGGTTTCATCTTGCTCTCTTCCTCCAGTCTTCTGTGGTCTGGGTCACAACATGGCCTTCAAGCTAAGACATTCACATGCTCACTCCTTCCAAGGTACCTTTCAGGTGGAACGCTTAACAGTTTTTCTTGCTTTTGGGATATAGTTCAGCAGTCTCTTTCCCCTTCAGAGGTTGATAGGGAAATAAAGACCCATCAACTCATGGGTTTTAACTGAGGCCCTTACATTAAGAAACCAAAGCCAGCATTTCTTTCACCCCTTGCTGCTTCCTACTTCAAGCCTTCCTTAAGACCCTTTCTCTCTCAAAGGCCTCCTTTGTGTCGCTGCATTTGCCACCTAAGCCTTCTAGGCTATAAACTCTCTTCCCCAAGTTTACAGGCCCTAGAGCCCTCTCCCCATCAGATGCACTCTGTATGGGAACAACCTACCTGCACTGAATTGTTGGCCTGCCTTTTTCTCTTAAATCTAGTCCCCATTCCCCTACCTGAAATGGGGGAACAGGATAGGTTCCTGATTTAATCTGATTTGAACAGGATGGGTAAGTCCCAATCCTTGATATTAAAGGGGCATATTGACCTACTCTTTCTCACTCTAGGTGAGCAAAATGACTATATATTATATTGAATAAATGCCTGTTGTTCTTGAACTCTCTTCCATATGTTTTGCAAAAACAAGGGTTATATTCTGCATATGCATTAATAATGTAGTTTGTAATGTTTTTGTTTAGATGAAACAGGGTAAGCTGTCCAAACTTTACTTGCACTTACATTTGCTTTAAACAGAGTACTACCGTTGTCATCATCACATTTCCAAGGTCTCCATGCAGTTTTTATTTAAGAAAATATTTATGGAAATGTATAGTCAAAGCTATTTGTGACATCCTCTGATAAACAATGATGTATCAAAACCCTTCTACTTTTAAATTAAAAATCTCTGCACTTTGTTTCCTAATTATAATATTGCCTCTTGTTATAGTGCCACATCTTCATTGCAGCAGAGATAGTGATTTTTTTTTAAAATAGTTTTTAGCTGACATGTTTCAGCTCTCACACAGCTGTGGTATTTCTCATGCAGAAGGAATATTTGGGGAAAACTGCCATAATCCTGATTTTGCTGTAAATATTTAATAAATAAAAAAACATACCGGTTCTCTAATCAGTTAGTGAATTTGTTTGATTAACAAAAGCATTCCAGGTAGGTGAGCATTCAGTGTTCCAATATGATGTTCTTTACCCTCAGTGATTATATTTCAGTGAATACCGTACATCTCAAAACATGTTATACAATAAACTGCTCTAAGTCAAAAGCAACAGCTTTGGATCTGCAGTGATGGAAGAGCTTGCTGACTTTGAGGTAGTTGGACACATGCTATTTTCTAACTCATGTTAAGAGTCCTCTAGGATATGGACAAACACATATGTACTGGTATTAAAAAGGGAGAAGGAACTGCTGCATCAGAATATGCAGCAACTGTTAAACTTATCTGCACATCATCCTGTAGCCATATAAGTGAGCTAAATTGCCTCAGCAGGATTGAAGTGGAAGCAATTTTGTTATACTTGAAACTACAGGCTCATGCACACATAGCAATTAAAATCTTAATAGCTGCTATAGATTTCCCCTCTCCTTTTAAATCCACTGAAAGTAGATGTTTGTCCATATTCCTAGTTACCCAAGTATAGTGAATGGATTTTTTGGTAAGGTCATATGAATTACCTTCTACACTTCAAGTGTTTTACCCATCTAATGACTTCTGATTTATTTTGTTTTTGATAAAGTATTAATATATTGCAAATATCAATTGTGAACACCTTTTTAAATACTGTAATTGGGAAAAAATATTTTTAATTTCAATTAATTTTTAATATTGCTTGTTGCTACTTATCTAAAAACAAACTGTTTTAAAATTATCTTCAAGCCAGACTGAATGAGGAGCGACTCTCTCGCATTTCTAGTATTATATGCAGTTCTGTTAAGCATGTAAACATCTATCTTTTTGTATGGCGTAGGAAGTAAAAAGAATTGGGTGGTTGGATAACTGTAATATAGACTTCTATCTCCCAGCTCTGTTGTGACCAAACACCACTATTTGGCTGTTCAGGGTTTTGTTTTCCCCATATGTAAAATGAGTTCAGTTTGTTTTTTTTTTAAATTGCACCTTCCATATATTTAGCACTGATTAGGGTGTTAAGTTTTTAATGGGCAGCCTCCAAACAGGCAAGGATTGAGTACATAGTATTTCCTTCAGAAAAAGGTTTCTGGCCAGACATAAGTGCTGCATTTTATGCAGCAACCTGTAGTCTATCCACTACCAAGCTGAATGGAGGGTGTAAGTTTCTGAAGCTGTTGATTTTCCCCCCCCTAGATTTTATCACCATGAAGTTCATATGAGGAAATTGAAGATGTGTGGGTTTTCTGAGTTGTGTTTGTAATATACCCCCTTTTACTAATTTCTTGCCAAATAAGATCACTTAACTGTAAAATGGGTTCAAGGCAGAATGTCAGTAGCTGTCTGGTCACTGATTCTTGACCTATCCTGTGACTAATTATTTTACTAACAAATATGTCCTGAAGGTATTGTAAAACTTTGGGCAGAAAAAAGTTTACATTGAATATAAAAACGATCCATCAGACTTTGCTGTCTACTTCTCATTGTTTTCCTTTAAAGCTGCACTGGTAATAAATACAAGTATCTTTGAATGTATCTTGGTGCCCACAGGTGCATAATACAAAATGTTTTAGGAAAGATGAGAGACTAAGGGCTAAACCAGTAACTTCAGGGTGACTCTTATCCATTATTTAATCTGACACTTGGCTCCTTCAAGGATAGGTTTGAATCACTGGTATTAGCCAGCTCTCCAACCTGCTGTCTGAGCAATATTATTTTATTATTAAATCCCTTTAGTCTTCTGCTGTTTTAAAATGTTTCCTGGCTGCTTGGCCCTTCTGAAGACAGCCAGGAGGCAAGCAATAATCCTCTGAAACCTTTAACGTTGCTATTTTAGCATGTGGTATTTTGCCTTGTAACATTTTGCTTTCTGTTTCTCTTCAGAAATGGATGAAGGGCAGAAACAAGGTTTCAGCTTGCTTAGTGAGATGGGAAGTCCCAAGAGGAAGATTGAGAGAAACATGGTTGTGTGCCTACCCTCCCTAAACTAGCCACTAGGGCCCCCAGAACGGTGATTGAGAGAGCCTGGGGAGCCATGTAGAGCTAGCCAATAAGAAACCTTAGCAAAGAGATCTTTGCAGTGCAATATAAAGGTGCTGATTTGGATTTAGGTATCTATTCAGTGGTGTGGCTGCTGGAGTGGGCATATTCTGGATTGCTGTTTGCAAGTCAGAATGTGTGTGCACATATCCCTGGTATTTTCCTAGGGCATGCCAGAAACCCATTGCGGATTTATCTTTAGGTGCTTAAACTCCACCCAGAATCTGTTAACTAGTTTACCAATCTCATAACCTCTGGGGGAGTGAGGGAAGTAAGAAGAATACTTTGCCCATCTAATGGGATAACATTTTTAGATGTGTAGATTGAGATTTATATTTACTTGTATTTACACTCTTAAAAAGAAATGAAAACTCATCCATCCCATTGAGTTTCACTTCCATGTTAAATGAAAAAAGGTTTTAGGTAATTTGGCTGAAGTATGCTTTTTTCTTTTCCCCTCAAAAATGTAAGAACATATACACTGCATTGTGTTCAGAACCTTCTCATAAGACTAAGGAGATTGTTTGCTGTTGATTTCTCTTTTGTATTAAACAATTGATGTGTGGCTACAGGAGTGAAGCTTTTATTTTAGCTCTCTTTGGTTGTTGCTTATGCACCAGCAGAGGGAGCTTAAGGCTTTGTTTTTGCCTGGGTCCTACACAAATGATTTTTTTTTTTTTTAAATAAATAAATAAATAAATCCAAGCAAAGACAAATGCAGTGCATGGTTTACCATCTTAAGCTGTTTGTGGATTCTGGGACCTAAATCCTTTGATAGTATCAAAGGTAAATCATTTCCATTTTTCAGTGTTCTGATTCTTCCATTAAGCACCACAAAATAATGCAAAATACATGCTGAAAATATGCTGCATAATGCTTTAAATAATGTGCATTAATGTGTTCCTACTTTATCCAAAATGAATTTTCCTTTGTTATTTTAATATATTCATAACTAGGGGGGTTAATTTGTGCTTCATGTCTATACTCACCTGTTTAAAAATGCTTCATCTGCGATTAGGTGAAACTTTCCTAAGCATCTCCTACTTGGGTATTTTGGTTGCCTTGTGAGCATTCTTTTATCTTGTGACATGATTACTTTAATCTAATCAGTGTTTCACATGTAAGGAAGCAAGTACTTGTTTATGACTCAAGTAATATCCTGATAAACATCAATGCCTCCTGGATTGAAAGTGTTTCCCATGTTATTTATTTTGTTTTAGAACAAGTTGGAAATGGAATATACCAATTTACCCAAATTTAAGGATCCTCTGAGTTGACACCCTATATTTGTTTTTTCTAGTGTTACCATATCTTACATGCAGATGTTTAATTTGAAATCCATGGAGGGTACTGCCCAGTCCTTTTTTTTTTGCCAACCAATGTTTTTTCAATAAAACCACAAAAAGGGTCAATGGCCTTACTTGTATCGGAAGCAGCTCTCTTCATTACCATTCAAATAAAGGAAAAAGCCTATCTGAACAATCTGCAACTCATTTCAAGTGCCAATTGAGCCCCTTTGACTTGGAGGAAGATGCGGTAACTGAATCTAACAGGCTTTAGCTTGACCTTTACTGCTCTGTATTAAGAAAGTCATGCTGAATCAGCAATGATGTACAGTTAAAGATAGGCAGTCAGTTGGACTTAAACTCCTATGTCTCTCCAGTACTTTTGGAAATGTTACCTAATATTTTTACTAAAGTGTTGGGCTTATTTTTATGGTTGGGATCATTCTTTTCTGATGAAGATCATGGGGGTCAGTCCATTTAGAAGCCTTTGCATTAGATCAAAGTATTTTCTGATTTTTGATTAAAAAAAAAACAAATGGTCTTCTGTTTGGAGGCCTCGTTGTATGTTGGTAAGGATAATCTAAAACTTCTTAACTATTTTTTGTAAATCATTTTATAGAATCCTAAAGCAAATTCAAGTTGCGTAAAGGAACTGCTAGGTTCATAATACTTGACTGGATATCAGTGGTCACTACTACTTCGTTTAAAATGTTTGTTCTTTAAAATCAATTTGTATTAGGACAAATCAGTATTGTGATATTAATAAAGCACTCAAATGAACTTCCTTTCCAAAGTTTACCTGACAGGGGGAGTTTTTTGGATTTTTTTTTTAAGGTTGGTTTTGTTTAAAAAGCTTAGGGTTGAGAATGGAGTCATCTGTCTAGGTATTTGCTTGGCCTTTATCTGCCAAATGTCATAGTTATGGAATGTCTCATCTATTGCTGCAGGACAGGTTAGTTGAGGAATGATTAAGTGCTGTTACTACAATCAGTGATGTCCTACAAATCACAAATCATCAATATAGTCCCAAGAGTTGATTTGAGGCTCATGGGAAAATCATACGTTTCCATCGTTGGTGTTGTAAATTAGTTCCAGTCTACAAGAGAATGCTGTAACTAATTGATATGACCTGGAAGTTGATAAAGTTCATAACAGTAAAGTTAACCTTTCCTCCAATAACTTGACAAATCTAATCTCTTTTAAAATCCCATATAGACTATGTACCCTGCTCACTTCTTTGTGATGGACATTTGTTTCTGCAAAGAAGTGATAATGCTTTTCCAGATTTTTATTGATATGTGCAGCAGGTGCCTTAATTTATTAATGCCAGAAGAAAGGAAAGCTATTCCATAACAGCAGGTTAGATCTCTGGCAGAATATATTAGAGTTATTGCTTATGAGGCTGTATTGCTTATGATCACTATTTCTGATAGTTGATCATCAGTCTACTTAACACA